TCCATAATGGCAGCCAGATACTCTCCACTCACACAAATGGCCACCCATCAAGGTCAGTACCAAGCCTGCCAAGTACAACAACGCATGTGGATGAACTTTTATGAAGAAGATACGTGAAAACACAGTACAGCACAAGCATATTCCAAGACACTAAAACATGGGGGAGAAATCTGCAACGCAGAACAAATGACCACCTTGTAATACAGAGGCAAAGCTTTGTTTGCTATGTTGAGAAATAGAGTGAACATATTTCCAGTTACTTAAGCAGTTAATTCATGGACTCCAGCCTCTTATCACTTCTTCTAAGGATTTCAAAGCAGACTAATTTATGCATGTAATTCATCATTTTTTAAGGAAACCCTGTAAGAAAACACTGACATTCCTTTATCTCATTTCCGTTAAACAAATACACCCAATCAAACTGTGAATTACTACCCCCTGGGACCTCTACATTACCCTCAGTGTGGTCATAGCAACTGCTCTGTTCCTGTTAGCTTTGGCACTGGGCTGAAGATTTGGACTGGAATGATTTTAGAAAGGCTGGTCTCTATAGCTCGCAGGTTACTGAAGGGCCAGATGAAAATGTAATCTTTAATTTACCTACTCTCAATTATTCCTGCTAATTAGCAGGAAATTCAAAATTGAGGTTATTTTTTCAAATTCAACATTCAGCAAACATATACGGAGTATTCTAGCTGTAAAGATTGATGGGTTTCCCAGTAAAGTATAATTTAGTAAATACTAAAATACAGTATCAAGAACAGATGCTCTAAAAATACTTATTTAAAAGCTGTGAAATCTCAATTAGCTTCCACAGTTAAGAAACTCAAGTTGCAGTATGAACAGTCTCCAGTGACAGGAAACTGCTACAATCTCAAATTTCCAATTCAATGCAACGTCCCCCCAGAAATTCAAGGGTGAAGGGGATTCCTGCTGCACAATCATCTTCAGCGGCACGACGACCTGATGGGCAGGCCTTCACAATTTAAAAGAATAGGTGTACGAGATAACTGGGTAATTAAAATTCATTAGCAAAATCCTTTTAATAATGAACATAAAATAATCTAACATTAATCTTCAATGACTGAACTGCATTTATCTAACACTAATATGAACGTTACAGACAATGATGACATTGGTTTGCACAATTTATTTTTCGTTTGAACATAAGATAGTTCCTTTGAATTTACGTGGTTTTAATTAATTTGCTTCATATTTGGATTATATGTATAATACACTGCTTTTACCATACTAAAGAAGAAAAAGATGTGATCTTATGATAAAGAAAATGTTAATTATTTGGATTTGGATCAGATGTGGCGTGGTGGGGTGGGGGAGAAGCTGAATGATGAAAGATGGGTACTTTATACTCCACTGGTAAAAAGCAGGGTATAAATACTGGAGAATATAATTTCATGTTAATTCAAGCTGCTTCTGAATTCTAAACTAACCAATATTTCCATAAATGTTATTTTCTTCATCATAGCCCTGAACCATCAACATAGCCCTGAACATGCAATAATTAAAGAAATTTTAGCCTAGAATAATTCCCATGAGGGAGTGTGTTTTTAATGAACTGTCCTCCACTTGGAGTTCCTTCCTCTTCTGTGGATCTTACAACTTCGATTTTCTGGGTTTTTTTTTACCTTTATGGATGACACAACGTTCTCTTTTTAAGTTTGCACATCTCACCCAGAAATCCCTGCCCAATCTGCCATCTTTTGAACCTGCCATTGCATCCTTCAATGTAACTGCCCATCACTGGGTAAGTTAAAATTCAGACTCTGTCATTAAGCAGCCAGGCAAACTGGGGCAGTTCATATGACTTCATCATACCTGCATGTCTTCAACTTGCAATGTGACAAGATTAAGCTTCTCACTAAGAACTCCTTCTAGCTTATTTTTCCTTCGGCTTTAACATTTTACCATTTTATCACGTTGTACAGCTGAGGAAGGGAACAGATATCCACAGAAACTAAAACAATTTTTTGAAAACACTGTTTTACGTATACATGTATTTTTAAGATCATTTTTCTCTTATTCTTCAGGGATACAAGAACTTCAACAAACTCAGTAATATCAAACTCTGAATCAGAGGAATTGGCAAAAACTCTGAATCAGAGGAACTGGCAAAACTTCAGATTATGAGGTAAATGGCTCAACAAGTGACAGAAAATTAGACAAATCTTGCATTTATCTTGTCTCATGACCTGACTAATTTCCAAATTCTGTGGGTTGGGGAGTGAAAGATTTTCTGATTTTCCCTGTAGAGGCAGAAATAACAACTCCCTCACTGTGTCCTATAGGTAGGGAGCTAACTCACTCTCTTCCTAATGCAACACTTGGACAACAAGATGAAGAGACCCTGGATATGGGAAGGCCAGGACAGGGAGTATGGTGACTAGGCACTTTCTTATATTCATTTTCCCCAGGCAAAGCACATCCTTGTTATTTGACATCTAAAAGCGTCCTCTGCACAATTCGGAGAATCATGCAGGTTTCAAATTGAAAATATATTTTACACACCTATGAACAAGTTTACTTTGACACTTTTTAAGTTAAATTTGCCACTACAAAAGAAAAATGAAAGATGACTTGGCTATTTTATATGCCAAAATTAACAGAAGACATGAGTGCAAAGCGTGAAGTGAAAGACCATGTATTAACTAAGTATATCCAAGGCCCATAGAGACTAAGAATTCAATAAATGTTTGCTAACAGGAAGTTAGTAGCACTGATATTCATAGTAACTTGGTAACCCTCTTACTGGTTTGCTGAACTAAACTTACACAGAGAAATTCTAGAATTACCATGTTGCTTTTTTTTTTTTAACATTTTTTTATTGAGTTATAGTCAGTTTACAATGTATCAATTTCCAGTGTAGAGCACTATTTTTCAGTTATACATGAACACACATATATTCATTGTCACATTCTTTTTCACTGTGAGCTACCACAAGATCTTGTATATATTTCCCTGTGCTATACAGTATAATCTTGTTTATCTATTGTATATATACCTTTCAGTATCTACAAATTTCGAACTCCCTGTCTGTCCCTTCCCACCCCCTCCCCCTTGGCAACCACAAGTTTGTATTCTATGTCTATGAGTCTATTTCTTGGATTTTTTTAAACAAAAATTTCACTTAATTCAGATAAACATCTGCTTTAACCTGCCAACTAATAGATTTTTAAAGCAGGTAGGCTATTTCCAAAAAAAAAAAAAAAAAAAAAAACATGTTAAATGCTCTTAAAGACTGATTTTTAAAGTGCTCATATTGTTTGGTTTCCTAACTTTTCTCAGTCTTTGAAAAATAATCACTGTAAACATTTTTTTCTTAAGACATTTAAATTTAAGCAGCCACACGGAAAAGTTTTATGACTTTTACTATGTTACTAGTTCACACTGTTCTATCTCTTTAGCTCCTGTGTCCTTCTGACTTGTCCCCTAACCTTTTGAAGCACTACCTTACTTTCTCGCGCTACACAAGATATTCCAGGCTCATCTTGTATTTTCCCTGCTTCCACTGCCCCAGTCCTAAAATGAGCCATCTATCCAAGGAGCCCTGGTTCCCATTATTGAAGAATGGTATTTAGAAATCAAGATCTGGACACTAGGTGTGTTCGCTGCTACTGAGGTGCCACTGCTCTAGACTCCATCAGTGGTCAGAGTTAGGAAAGATACGGAACCTATGGAATAATCTTTGTGTTTCCAGAAGCATCAATCAAGTGCACTAAGCTTAGTGAGGTGTCCATTAGAAGCATTTTTAGAAATAGAAATTAACAAAATATTCTTCATTAGTTAAAAAAAACACTTTGGAATAGAGATTATTAATTTCAGTTCATTAGTGAATATTTCTGCATTAGGCTGAATTTTATTTCCTTATACAATCTCTCTGTGAAACTGCATATCTTTTTTTTACTAACTCTTATATTCGCTCTCTGAATACTCACTATAAACCTATACTGTAAGTACTATTATTATCACCCTCTTTTACAGATGATAAAAATTAAAATTAGAGATGTGATGCTGTAATATAATAAAAAATAAATAAGCTCTAGGTCCCAGCACAGAGCTTCTAAAACTCTCGTAACGTCCTGAGTGGTAGGGGTTAGAAAAGATGCTGGCTGTTCATTTGTATGCTTTATAATATCCTTTATAATAAAGCAGTAATAGTCATTGTTTCCTTGAGTTCTGTGAGCCATTCTAGCAAATTATCAAATCTGAACTCAAAAGGAGGTTGTGAGAACCCCTGATTTATAGCCAGTAGGTCAGAAGTAGCAGATCTGAGATAGGAATCTGAAATGGAGGACAGTCCTATGGGACTGAGCCTTAACCTGTGGGGTCTGCACTAATTCCATGTAGTGTCAGAATGGAATTAAATTATAGGACACCCAGTTGATGTCCACAAGGAAGTGAAGAAATGCTTGGTGTGAGAGACCAACAAGTCTGCTGTTGAAAACTGTTGAATAGAGGAACAGTTTCCTTTAGAGAAGTTAAATACTATGAATCTTATGGTTACCTGGGAAAGGGGATGGTAAGGGATAAATCTGGGAGTTTGAGATTTGCAAATGTTAGCTACTATATATAAAAATAGATTAAAAAAACAAGCTTCTTCTGTATGGCACAAGGAACTATATTCAACATTTTATAAAAATATTTAATGAAAAAGAATATGAAAATGAATATATGTATGTATATGCATGACTGGACACCATGCTGTATACCAGAAATAGACACATTGTAACTGACTGTACTTCAATTTAATAAATAAATAAAACATCTCAAATAAAAAACAAACCACAAACAAAATGCTATGGTCACAGAGCTAAGTGAAACTGCTGGGTTTTAGAGCCAAGCAAACTCTAGAACTACTCTAAAATAATAAAATGATTGCATGAAAGGAAAGCTGTTTCATTATTTCATATCCATAACAAACACGTATGATATTAACAGCAATAAAGAGTTAGAATAACAACAATTGCCACATTAACTCTCACCTGTGTCTGCCTCATTGCCCGTTCCACTCGGCGTGTGCTTCCTCTCTCAAGTTTTGTCCGGAGGATCAAGGCTGATGTCTGAATGGCCCAGAACTTTGGTTGCGAAAGCAAACACTGATGGAAGAAAAAAAAAAAAAGACCACAGAAAGAATGGATGAGCTGGGTAACCCCACCCTGAATACAACAAGATTAATTTTGCCAAAAATATCAAGAATATGGCTAGATGCAGATTTGAAAATCTTCTCAATGAAAAATAATAGAACATGACATGTGCTTTCAAATATTTTTATGAAGAATGTGTTCATTTGAGCAAAATCATTATTTAACCTAGTTGCCCTGTTCTATTGAAAAAATTCCTTAAAAAATGAATCAATCTTTCCAGATAATCAAAACAATAAGCAGAATATATATCATACCATAAATTAATAAATCTTTTATCTGAGTTATTAAAAAATTGAGAAAATAAATTACATAAAAACAAATGCCACCTTTCTCAAAGTTGAAATAAATTTTTAAAAATCATCCAAACTCACAAATGAAAACAAATAATTAGAAATCTGGTACCTCTTCACTTAAAAAATTTCCTAATGTGTTGATGCAGATGCAAATCAAACTTTAAGGATTCTAAAATTTTAAGAATGTTTTCTAGTCTTGGTTAGGTTAGGGCGTCTCCAATTTTAGTTAAAATGCTTCCCTAGATGGGGTATCTAAAGAGAGACTGGCCTATGAGAAAACTCTGAATATGCACATACTGAATCCTAACCTGAGAGAAAGCTGTAACTGCCATCAGTTCAGAGAATGTAGCAGAAACCACTGCATATGACCCAGATGTAGTGAGGGGAAAGTGACACTTGCAGGTGAGCAAAAACTGGGGCAAAATGTATTATGATACAATGGGGACTGCTTAACGCACACAAGTTAAGCTCTTTGCTGATGACAGGGAACCCAATATTGTCCCTAGGTGATCATTCACAATAACTTCCAGTAAAGAGTGCTTCAAAGAAAGACAAAAGGCTTATTTGTCTGAAAACTGGTCACATCCTTGATTATTTGCTTATTTTTAAAAGTCAAGTGTAAAAAATATCCTAGTTAACTGGAGTCCAATTAATCATTCAAAACCTAGCTGTGCATTAGAAGCACTTTAGAAGATTTTAGTATTTTAAAAGTAAATCATGAAAAGGAATACATATATGACTGAAACATTATGCTGTACACCAGAAATTGACACATTGTAAATTGACTCTACTCCTATTAAAAAAATAAAAAATAAAGAAAAATTTTAAGTAAATAACATCTCAGAGCAGGATCTGAGCATCGGTGGTTTTTAAAACACTCCCCAGGTAATTCCTAAGTACAGCCAAATTTAAGAACTACTAGGCTAAGCTAATAGAAGCATTTGTCTTTGGTAAATTCATTGTAACTCCACATGCTCACTGACAGTCAGCAAGTCCTTCAGTGGAGTGCACACTGCATCACAGTCCCTACAGATCCTTACTGTATCATGCCCAGCTCACTTCCACTGTCTGTATTACCTAGCTGGCCCCTGTGGGTATTTGAATTTTCAACTGCAAATCTAAGCCAACTCTTTTACAATAAAGCACTAGCAGGTTAGATCACTTGCTCAACGTCACACCTTCATTAGTAGCCAAAGCTGACCGTAATAGTTGGTCTCTTGATCCCCAAAATGACATCTTTTTCTTTCTTTCTATCTTTTTGGAAATTGCACTGGGACACATGAGCTTCAACTACTTTCTTTTTTTCCCTTTTTTATTGAAATGGAGTTGATGTACATTATGTTAGTTTCAGGTGTACTATATAATGATTTGATACTTGCATACACTATGAAGTGACCACCACAAGCCTAGTAACCATCTTTTCCCAAAGTCACTACAATATTATTGACCATATTGACCATATTCCTTACACATGACTTATTTATTCTATACCTGCAGGTTTACAATTGTTAATCTCTTCATCTGTTTTGCCCACCCCACCTCACTTCTGGCAACCAGTGTATTAAAACCATGGTATGAGAACTGTAGAGAGAGGCTCCCGCAAGTCTTCCTGCAGCATCACCAAGTAATCCAGCAGTACGTGGTGACCCTGGAGAGCCTGCTCTTCACTGCTGAATTAGACCCTCACATCCTGGCTGTGATCCAGCAGTTCCGGGCCCTGTAGGCCTAAGGATCATTTTTTGTCCCCACTTCATGTCAAGATTTTCTTTAAATTCTCAAAATAAAATTTTCTGTAAAAGGCTTTTTTTTTCTTCTCTGTATCTATGAGTCTGTTTTCATTTTGTTTTGTTTGCTTGTTCTGTTTTTTGGACTCACCATATAAGTAAGATCATGTGGTCCTTCTCTTTCTGACTTATTCCACTTGGCAAAATACCCCCTAGATCCATCCATGTTGCAAATGGCAAGATTTCATTTTTTATGGCTACATAACAACATCTTCATATTTTTTTTTAACACTTTCTCCAAGGAATAGATGACAGTACCCAGGAAACACTGGCAGAGTAATGTAAGAAGAGGACTCCGTAAAGAGCTTCAGGAAACTGCTAGATTAAAGGAAGTGGAAGAAGAGGGGTAAACAAAGAATACACAAATAAGGGAGAAGGAAAATCAGAGGAATAAATTCTTGCTGCACTGTGTTAATTAATTCATTCATTCATTCTCTTGAGCACCTACTCTGTACAAGGAGTGTGCACAAGGCCCCAGGGACAAAGTAGCAGCAAGACAAACAAGGTCCTGCCCTCAGAGAACTTACACACTAAAGCAATGACTATTAAGTAATCTTAACTCTTCTATAACTAAGTTTGCAAATTAAAATATTTTTATCTCCTTGAAGTACAGTTTACAAGATTAATGCATATCCTTATCTTGTTAGTTTCCATTAACTTAAATCTACAAAAAGGATGAATTTATCAACATAAGTAAGTATATATAGCACTATAAAGATATACATGATGAAACTGAAGACATTAAAAAGCTAATTCTTAAATTGTGTGACATTGTGGGTGGAAGATTTTATTATAAAATGCGATCTCAAGAATTTTCAAAAGGAAGGAAGAATTTTCTTCATTAAGTGAAGTTGCACACTGATTCTGCTACTTATGGTGGGTTGCATCACTGCCTTTTTTCTCTTCAGTGTGTTAAAGGGACTGTCTCTGTAACCTCGTGACGGCATGGAAGCACACTGAAGAAATGGCTCTGGGGAAAATCTCCAAGTCAGCCCAAGCCTGATCAGAATCTCAGCTCCACCAAGTGAGGTGATTAGCTATGTCACCTTGGGAAGGTACCTGACCTCAGAGGATCTCTCTTCCCTCCTCTCTATAGTAGGAACAGTAATTCCCATCACCCATAGAGTTGTGAGGATTAAATATGCATGGAGAGTCAACACTGAAAAAGCCTCTGAGAGCACCTGCTGAACAGCACACGCGGTCCCCTGCAGGACTTCTCCTCCTACAACACTTCCTCACACCCTTATTGGAAACGCTCCCTGGCCCGCAAGTGGGCACAGGGGGCAGCACTAGCCATCACCTACCCTCAGCTACCTGGGCATAGAGCGTTCTAAACTAAAGGAGTTTGAGAAAACAGCACAAGCAGGAAGATCACTCTGACCTTCCCCCACTTCTCTTCCCTGAAAGTCATAAAACCGTCACGTGAGAGGTGCCCTCCCTACATCCGGAGGAAAGGAGCATCCCTTCCTCTGAAGACAAAGGGACACTGACCAGAATCCCAACAAGCAAATCTTACTAAGTTTCTCCCAGTTTACTGCACTTTCCTTTGACCTGCCATATTCCTCCATGACTGCCCACACTTCATCACACCTAGCACAAAAATACTCAGCTTTAACTGTTTCTTCAGTCTTCATTTCCTTATGAGATCCCATGTCACACAAAACCTATATTAAATAAATTTGGGTGCTTTTCTCTTGTTAATCTGTCTTTGTCAGTTGAACTTTCAGACCCAGCCAGGGACCCTAATAGGGTCGAGGAAAACTTTTCCCTCCCCCACAGCTCCCAACCACATGGTCACTCTACCAGTAACGGTCACGGTACACAGATCAGCACAGACCAGGCCTGTCAGCTAAAGCTTGGCTTTAAAGGGTTTGAATGCCAAAGCAGGGATTTTCCTAGGAAAAACTACCAGTAAGACTGTTTTCTACGCTGGCATGAGAACAAGAGTTTGCCTGAGACTTTTATGTGAGGGTCAAGCAAAACAGTCTCATGAAACACTGAAAGTAAAATGCAATCTGAAAAACAGACATTTGAAAAGCTTTACAGAAGGAACTGACTGGATAATGATATCACTGAAGAATGCATTTATCTTATATTTATTTGGTTGGGAGATATGCAGACTTGGGAAAGTCTTTCTAAAAGGAGGGAACTGCAGATAGACTGGGTTTAATATATGTTACAAAACACTGCTGCCCACGAGGTCAGAATCCGTCATACTGGGACATCAGGTAAGGAAAAAGAAAGTTAAACAGGACATATGTGCTGTAACGCTCTACTGACTTATGAAGAAAATTCTGTTTTTATAAAATTTCCAGTCTCGTGGTTGAGCAAGCACACCCAGTGGAGAGAGCCCCACGGGAACTACGAAGCCCAGCTGGTGAGGACTCAGGCTCCACTCTGTGCAGACGGTGAGCGGAGCTGATCCAGTCTCCAGCGTGTCCCCAAACGAGGGTCACTGCTCTCGCCTCCAGTCAATTTAGGACGTGAGAATGACCACCCACCGCCTTCTGCTGGCTCTGTCACAGTCTTCTGACTCCACCTCTACCCAGCGACTGTCACTGCATCAAGTTCGGATCCCTCAGGGCAGAGGCCCTAGCTGTTTGGTCTGCCAGTGCCTTCTGTGTGGCCTGGCACACTGCAGGGGCTCAGAGAGATAAAGAAAGAGACAGAGAAAGGGCCTTTTCTTTGTCCTCTTTTACAGAGGGGCAGAGGTGTACAAAAACATTTCTTCTGAAATAGAAACGCAAATTCATAGTGACTAACATGTATGAAAATCACATGATAGGTTTTTTTCCCTGGCGTTCCCTGGATAGAATTGGGAACATGCTCTCCCAAGGGCACAACACTGTAAATAACAACTAGGTATCATGAAATG